AGTACCTAGATGGTGATGCTCCTCTTGGGTACCCTCTGGTACCCGCATAGATTGAAAACATCGTCAGTCTGCCAAGGTCGAAGATAACTAGAAGCTAGAGTTTCTAGGTCACTCATGGAACAGAGCTACTCGCATGGCCTTTCAAAGGTGGGGGCCACAAGTCACTCGGTATTGCTCCCCCTGAGGCATGGTCAACATACATCAAGCTGAACACACAGCCCGTTTGATCTCTTGTCAGCACTTTATATCAATCAAAAGTATTCGCTTGATGATTTTTGGTTTCAGAAGTTTGATCCATTGGCCACACTACCGTAACTAGGTAGGCAGAGGTATTTTTTGTACGACAAAAGGAATCCCTATGAAGGGAGCAACACCATTGCTTCCCTCCCAGAAAAAAAAAAAAAAAAAAAAAAAAAAAAAAAAAAAAAAGACAAAAGTGGTATATACATAGGAGTCAAGGGTATGTTCGATCAAGGTCTGGACACGCTGAAAGGACCCATCACTTTTTTTTTTTCCCCTATGTCACAAACCCATAGTCCCCCCGAGACCCAAATCCCTCGCACACGTTGTTAGAAAGTAGGGAGGGGCGTCCTTGTTCCCCCCTCCCTTAGGTCACCCTTTTGAGACCTCGTTGAATACAGAAAATGGCACAATTCCTAGCCTCTGAGTTTTTAAATGCCCAGTAAAAACAGCTGCACTCCGCAGAGCCAGTCTTCCAAAACTCCGAAGATGCGGGGTATGAAGGTGATGTGTTGATGCAAGTGGTCATGATCCATGAAATGCCGCTAGACGCTCCGCGTAAAAAGAACTTCAAAAAGACTCATCGCTAACCAGTCTTAATGCCGAACATGTGGCGCGTCCTGGACTTGCTGCGGGCTTTTTTGGCAGGCTTGTCTTCGTCATTATACTTTGACTTGTGAATCCTGTAATGGCGCACGTCAGTACCAATATCCCGTTCCCTTAAAGGGCTACATGTAAAACATACCAGCTGTTGCCGACCATGTTCATCCCTTTGGCCTCGGCTTGTCTATAAAAGCCAGCGGCCTTCTTAAGGTTCTTCTTGCAGCCTACTCCTTGAGCGTAGCAAAAGCCTGCTTCAGCCAGTGCATCTACATCGCCCCAAGCTGTTCACTCTGTCAGTCTCATGGACCCTTCAGAAGAGGCAATCTCAACTTACATCCGGCAATCTCAAAGCATCTCAGGGCAAGGGCCTTGTCCTGCTCAATGCCCCATCCATTCATATGGCTTACGCCAAGCTCATAGATACTGAGTGCGAATTGTGCCTTACGAGTTCTTCGCTCCATGGCATCCACGAACTTTCCTTCCTTGACATGGTCCTCATCGTCGGCGATTTCAAGGCTGGCGCATTCAGCTGCTTTCCGCAGCCACTCAACACCCTCCCGCTGGTTTGGCCGCATACCCCAGCCGTGTCTGCATGCCAGCGCATACAGAAGCATACCCGTCGGGTTGCCTCCCTTGGCTGCATGGCGAAGATGGTAGGTTGATTCCTTCACTGAGCCATTCTCATGGCATTCAATGCCCTTGGCTAGGTGCTCCTCCGGAGACATGTCTGAAGCTGTGGGGGCACCTGAGGCCAATGAGCGAGTCGCCTTGACAGTGCTGTTGGAATCGCTAGTGGTAGTTGACATGGCAGTCTGACCACGTGCAGCAATATTATGAGCCTGGGAGTTGAGGGCACGACCCCGAGCATCCTCCTCTGAGGCCCGGCTCTCGGTCGATGGGCGGCTAGGGTTGGGAGATGGCTGCGGCGCCGGACCACCGCGATCGAGACTACGCTTTCCTTGGTCGAAAGAAGGCTTGCCAAGGCTAAGATTGTCGGGCTCTGCTGAGCTAGACGGCCGAGTTGGTGGAGATGGAGGTGCTCCGCGTTGGATAGCTTGTACATTGCTTGGAGCAGTCACAGGCTGCTCCCACTGGAAGGAAGCTTGCCGGTGAGGATCGAGAGGAACAGATCGCTGAACGATCTTGCCTCGGGGAAGTGAGTACTTGGAGTAAATGTACGAGGGGGCGGCCTTGCCATCATCGTGTACGTGGTCGGGGAAGCCTTCGCTGTTCATACTGACAGGGGTGTTGGCGGACTCGTCGTTCGCGAACATGAATGACGGTTGACTGTCAGATGAGGCCTGGCGCGTTGGGGTCTCCAATCCAGGTGTGCCGGCTCGGCTCATGGGCCTCGAAAAGTTGAAGGAGGGTCGCGGCAATGGCATTGAGGCGTCGGAGCACACGGATGGTGAGCGCTGGAAAGGACCTGGGTTCAGGTTGGGTGACGTTGTTGACACCGCATAAGCGCTGCAGCTCGACAGTTTGCGCGGCGGCAGCGACTGAACGGAGTTGCTCATGTCGTCGCTAGTGTTTTCGAGGGGCGAAGACATGGAGGTCGCCGATCGTGCTGTAAAGCTGGGTCGCGGAGGAGCCAAGCCGGGTCCATCAAAAGAGTGTCCCTTTGACTTGCCGGGCGATCCATTCAACGAATTTTCGCGTGACCGTGCTGGTGAGAGAAGAGGTAGTGAATGGTCTTTTCGTGGAGGCGATGGTTGCAAGTGAGAGTCGTTCGTCGGGTGTTCCATAGGCGCTGGGGACTGTTCTCTTCTTGCGCCAAAGTACGTCTCATCCTGATGCTCCTCCATCGGATCCAACACTCTTCCACGCATCATATCGGGCAACGGCGTTGGTAGAGGCTCGCTCTCGTCGGGAGTGGGCGGAATACGGCTCATTCGAGGGTGCACCGAAACGGGTCGATCTTTCTCGGACGGAAAGGCGTCCTCGACCTCGGTTCTAAGTCCCAGTCCTGGGTTCTGAAGCTCAGGAAGCGGCATCTCGTCGGATCCTGAATCGTTAGACATGGAGCGAAAGTAGTCTGATCGGCCCTGTACGACCAAAGGACTTTCGGTCGTCAGAGGTGGTAGTCTGCTCATGCGCCTTCCTTCGCCGCTCGCGGCAGCTTGGAGCTGTCTCGCCAGCAGGCGACTCTGAAGAGCGAAGGCATCAAGAGGAGACAGTTCGGGAGGTGCCTCGCCTGCGACGTGGAGTCTGGGGGATCGCAAAGGTCTCGAAACGTTGGACATGCTCGAGGGCGCCCGAAGATCGATGAAGTTTGGGCGTTGCGGTGACATGGTCGGTCGATTTCGGATCGCGTCTTGGTTGAAGTTCCCATGCAACGCCATGCAGCTGTTTTGCAGGTCTCGTGTGAGTTGGGGGAGTCGACAACAGATAGGATGAACGACCGGGCGAGCCCAAGAAGTGATTGGTGGTTGGAATCCTGGCGGTGCAGGTCGTGTCTTAGCCGAAGGATCGGTTATGGCGTCAGTCTAGAATGGAGGCCGCATAGAGGTCGAATAACAGGTCGATGGCCGGCTGATGGTGTGGCTGCCGAGAATGCTAGCAACCGCGCATAAGAACAATGAGGTCAGGATTGGTTGGGGGCTCGAAAACGGAGTAAAGTTTTGATACGGGTCGAATATGAGCGGATGAAGAAGCAGAAATGAGATTTGAGGTCGAATATTTTGGGAACGGTTGTCGTCGTGGGACCCTTTCCTTTCAGTCGGTGTTGCAGATGGGTAAACAGGTTCGAGGATCCGTACGCAATAGAGTGTTCTTTCTTAGAAGCAGGACACACTAGCGGGAGGTGGGTGTCCGTTTTGGGCACTGCGGTCTGGCGGATAACAAAGAAGGCGCAGCAGCCAAGAGGGAAGGTCGAAAGACGAAAAGAGTGTTGGAAGAAGAAGAAGAAGAAGATTCGAGGGTATCAAGAGACAACCTGAGGTAACCTGAGATCAAGTCAAACTAGCCGGGCGGTGGTTGTTGCTATGTAGGTAGCAAGAGGTCTCAGGCCGAGAGCAGCTGGGAACGGTTCGATGTCGACGCCTGAGCTGAGTATTGGTCCCGATCTGTCGCGAGGAGCAGATGATGGAACACGGACACGAGGAGGGGAGGGGGAGCCTGGGAAGGAAGGGTGGAAAAAAAAAAAAAAAAAAAAAAGAGAAAAGGTCGAGAAGAAGCGAGACGAGAAGCGGGAAAGAAAGAATGGAAGCGATCTCTGTTTCCCCCAGAATCGGATACGAGGGGAGGTGATGATGAATTGGATTGGATTGAATTCCCAGAGGGGGGGCACTTGGGCACTTGGGGGGGACGGGACTCAGAAGTGACTTTCCACTTGTCAGCTGGGACAGGGTGCTACTGGTCCAATCGTGGGGACGTAAGGAACAGACTGAGTTGAGTCTAGCACCTACCGCAACGCTAATACGGGGGACCTCAGCACCGTAAAAATGGAAAGCACCTTCCATTCGACACGCTCACTCAAGACGGTAGGAACGTTCCTGAGTCCTGAGGGTGGTGGTGGTGGTGCCTTCCAGTTGGGAGCACGGGCATCGAGACTGAGTCCCGTCTGAGAGGGAGCGGGGATACGTACCGCGGTACGTTTAAGGGATGAGTTAGCACCACATGTATCCGCAGCCACGACGGCGCCAGAGCCCCCCCATGCGAGGCACGGAAGCAGGGGCAACAACAGGGGATGGCATCACAGGCGGACGCCCACGAAACACAGCAGGAACAGCCGGTGAAAGCTGTACGCGCATAAGCAGCCAAAAGTGCATTTCTACACATCTCGCTGCTCACCTACCGAGTCCTCAGGTACCTTACATACAGCATCTTCACGTATTGAAACCCCTTAGTGTCTGCAGTTGTAAATCATGGCTGGCCTTCTGCCGATGGCATTGTCTGGGGTGCAGGTACACAACATTCATTGGATGGCATCGCATAGCAACACGATGCACTAACAGCAAGACCCAAATTTCCCCTTTTCTTTCTTGTCTTGTTGCTCGTCCCCGTCCAATCCCTGCTCGCTGCCCTGCAAGGTGCAAGGTAGTGCGAGGTGCAAGGTCTCTTCCTCCGCCCGCGACGCCCCTCCTTCAACCTTTCAAGCCCTTTGGCGGCTGGCCCTGCGACCTCTTGCGACCCTGCGCTTCAACTGGAAACGGGGACATCTCTAGTTCTTCTCTGTCGCTGTCACCTTGTTCATCAATGCCAATGCGTCGTCGTCCGTAGCAAACCGTAGCGCGCCACACTCCGTTTTCCTTCTAGACCATCAACGACTACGTTCACGCCGACTGTGTACTCCGTAGGTGGCTTGGATATTGTGACCCGACGCCCAGTGGCAATCAGCAGCCCGAGACTCTCACACTCTGCACTGTAAGTAGTGTGTAAGTCTACGTTATGAGGTGACTGAAATTTAATGCTCGGTCAGGTACGCGCCCGGTTTGGTCGTCAACATACGAGAGAGTCAAGGGCATAGTCGACTTCAGGTCAACATGGGAGCCGCGCCTAGGTGCATAGCATGAGGGTATGCCTTGTCCGTGCCTCTCGTCTCTGCGCCTGTCTGTACCTTATTTCGTGAGTTTCTGTACTTCAGCGAGCCCGTTGCCATGATGTAAGATGCGGTGGGTGTAGATCGTAGAGCACGTCAGGTGGCCTTGCTTTGACATGCATAACGGTAAAGGGCAAGCACAAGCAAGGCATTGGGCAAAGACCGCAGCCATCTTCGGTACGGAAGCTGCGCTTCCTTTTCCCACCTTGGTATGAGGTGATGATCTCGGGTCGCTAAACAGAGGGGGAAGGACCAAAAGAGGGCCTTTCCTTCTTCAACAATGGAAGTTAATAATCAATCGCACTTACCTGTAGGCCTGAGTGGGTAGGTAGGTATTCGGTTCGTACCTTACCTTCCGTTGGCTGAAAGTTGGAATGGGAAGCAACAGTTTCCAAAAACCCAGCAGCCCTGTCACAGGTCATTCCCGCTTCCACTGCCGCTTCCTTCTCGTTCTTCTTCCCGGTTGAGAGTACAGTTCCTGCAGCAATAAGAATCGCCCAGAATAGCCCACTCCATCAACCCAAGGTACTTTAAGCCCCAAAGGCATTCCCGGGCGGGATGGGAGGAACTTGAGAGGTAAGGTAGCACGGTAGGAAGCGCAACAGCCTCTTCCCTCAGGCTTCAGGCTTCAGGTATCGCTCATCACTGCCCATCTTAGCAAGAGCTGTTCTAGCGGCATCGTCGACTCGGGTTTCTTCTGAGCTGTCTTGGACCTGACGGAGCTCTTCCCATGCCCGGGGCCTTTACTAAGGCACTGAGCACTAACCTAGGTGCCTTCCTAGGCAGTCAGAGACTCAGAGGGAACAATACTTCGTAGTCCATACGAGGTATCCGCACGCTGCCCCGGACTGAGGTGCGTTTCTCGTCACTCCATTCCACTTCCTTATTAGCGGATGGCCTGGAGACCTAACTTTAGCAATAATGTCGCGGCACTAACACGGGCGAAGACCCAGGCTAGAACACGCTGCGCCGGAATTTTGGACCGTTCATCGAGCGATCATTGATCAACGCCTGGCGCAACACCACCGGTGACCACACAACTCTGTTCTTGTTTTCTCCAAGCCTTTCTCTCGACTCTGTGTGGTTCTCTTCCCCGCCGTTTCTCGGCCTGCTTTACCTTACCAAGACGGCCGGGCGCTGTTATTATGCACATGCCACAAACAGCTACCCGCTTGGTTGCTGTGCAAAATATTATTGTGCGACGACTGTCCGTGTTGAAGATGACTGGTGGTGTTATAGGTCCACCGTCCAGTACCTACTACCCTGCTCAACCGTTAACACTAAGGACGCCAGCTCCAGATTTACGGAGCTGCTACGGAGCATCCTCCATCGACGAGACATGGCGATGTGTCGTCTTGATCGTCGGTCCCGTCCACTCGCGAATCACTCGTCAACGGGAGAACCACAATGGAACGCACCCTTGGGTCTTTGACCGTTTGACCTGGATGCTTGAAGGCTTGAGCAGCAACTTCCCAGCAAGCAGCCCCATCAACAGCAACGGAACGGACGCCAAAATAACCAATTCCCCCCAAGAAACGGAGCCACATGCCACGGAGCGACGGTCCAGAACAACATAAACAATCAAAGTAGAAACCAATAAGTCGCACATGACGAATCGACGATGGCCTCACGGACGACAGCATCCCCTCTCATATCCGCTGCAAGCCTGTCAGCATCATTTATTTTCTTCCCATTTTATTTTATTTTCCTCGAATCCCACATGGCACATGTCCCGCCTGCGGCCTGCCCTCCTTTTTCCTCCACTCCGAGCGGGCTCTAATTATTTCGCTTCCCGCTCTCTGCAGCGTGACGCCCCTGGATTGGGAAGTCATCCCCGCGTTTCATTGGCTCGTCCCATGACCCAACAGAGTACGAAGCATCGTCGGAAAACCTTCTTTTGAACTTTTGAATTGCTTTCCCGCCTACTTTGGTACTCGATAGTACCTATCCGTCCCTTACTTGGTACACACAGTAGGTAAGACCTGTGCCATTTGGGGACCGCGCTCATTGCGACCTTCTTCCTATGGATACATACAACCTTATTAGTGCGACGTTGCAACATGCAGTGCCGCTGCAATTGCCAATAGCCTGCCTACCTATGGAGCATGGTCCGGGACCCTTCTTTTTGTTTCCCCGGCAAGATTGAAGAAGGAAGACTGCCCAAGACGGCGAGACGTCGAGTAGTCGAAAATTTCTCTGCCAACATATGACCTGCATGGACTGCCAATTCAAGGACGGGAAATTTACAAAACTCAACCTTCTTTCGGCTGGGGAAATTACACGGCGGCTCACTCCCACGTCGATCCCGGAGGCCGCGTCGACAAACACACAGCGCGCCCGTGACGATGCACCAATTACCCAGCACACTTCAATTGACGGCGGCCTTTGCAAAAGATACGAAGGATACGCAATGATGCGCGGTCCCTTCGTTGCCAGCCGCGGTCTCTGGAGTAGTAACAGCTCCCATCTCCAATGCGGCCCTATCCGTTCTCCTCCTTCACAACCCAACGTCACTGACAACATTTAGCAACCCCCTCCGACGTACAGTATCCGTACAATACCGTGTATATCAACCTGTCAGGTCGTTTCAGCCTACGGCCATCATCCCTCCTGTCGGTGCCTCTGCTGTTCGTTCATTCGTTGCACTTGGGGGGGCTCTCAGATGAACCCATTTTAACCGTTCATGTGGTTGCGGCCAATGATGGGACGTGAAGACTCCCCCAACTTGCAGCTTCCACCATGTGAGTAAAAGAATCATTCCTTTTTTGAAGGGCCGTTCTCCCCCTCTTCCCACGCAACACTGTGGTACGAATGCATATCTGGGACACAGCTCCTGCGGTGCAATCACTGCGGACTCGGATGTTCTGCCCATTGAACATTCTCTGACAGAAAAAAAAAAAAAACTCCCCCCTTCCCCCAATATTTTTTTTTCCTTCTTCTCCGTCCTCCTCCACAATCCCCTGCATGCAAAGTGCAAAAGATTCAGGAACGACGTTACCCTCCCGATGGGCTTCTAGCTTCTGTGAGACAAGTGGCTTGTTTCGCGCCCGACTCAGATGCACGAATGGGGCCACCCACAGAGTACCACATTTATTGAACACCTTTTTTTTTTTAATTAAAAAAAATTATACGAGGATCAATTGATCGCGTGGCTCGTGTAGCCGTACGCATCGAACACGACCGCGATGCGGCGGGTGGTGTTGAAGTGGCGATCCAATGGCTAGCGATGAAGCTCTTCCAAATCGTAAACGGAAGTCTAGAACTTCACTGCAATCCCCGTCTAAGTTCGTTCAGTGCCATCTCGTCCCATCTTTTTTGCTCTGCATCTGCCAACTCCCACCACTTCGGCCAAAGTACACCAAGCCACACATTTTGACAGGATGGACCCCGGTTTACTCTTTCCGATCCCCCCCCAAATCCTTGGCGGCATGAAGTTCCTCTTTGTCTGGTGTGTCTGGTCACTGTGGCGCGCATAGTGATAACTGCCACAGAAAACATGATATCACCCTTCTTGAGTGCAGCATATAAGTGGCGGCGGCGGCGAATAAGAACTTGAGTACTGCGTGGTTGAAGATGTCGCTATTGTTGGTCCCCGACATGTAACGTGATGCATAAGGTGAGGAAGACAAAACTCAATGCACTTCTTTCTTGATCCCGCCGGATCGGCCTCGCCAACTTTTCTGTCCGCCGCGGTGTGTGTGTGTGTGTGTGTGTGTGTGTAGTTCCCCAGCATTCTACGTAAAGCAAAAAGTGTTTATGCCCCATACGGATGGATACTTATCTTGAGGTATTCACCCTGTCCTATCAGTAGAAAACCTGTTCTGTACATTACTCTGCAGGCATCTTGAAACCTCAAAGTTCTCCAATCGCCCTATAAGGCATCCTATCTTTGCCCATTTTTAGAGTTGCTCGTCCAGTATCAGATACATCACCTTGCACTGCACTGCACTGCAAAAAGCTTTCCGTCCAGGTTTTTTTCTTCTTCTCTGTTTTTTTTATTAATTTTACATCTTACTTCTTTGTAAACAATATTAAGCCAGACGCCGTTTTAGACGGGTGGGCATGACGATTTGCGACCGTTTACAAAAAAAGATGTTTAGAAAAAAAAATGGCAATTTGTTCTACAGAGCTGAAGCTCGTGGCAAAATGGTCTATAATTGTCCTACTCTACCCTAAGGTAGGTAGGTAGGTAACCCTTAACGTCGCATTTTCCATGAGCCGCAGCAAAAGTTGGCAGCCATTGTTGGCCAGGTGGTCTCGTCGTTGTCGTCAACTTTGCCTCCCAACCACAAACAACAGAAAGGAAATAAAGTTTCTTCAGCTCCGTTTTGGAGTGCTACGTGTGGTATATTTAGACCGACCTCTTTTTGTCCTCGTGATCTGCCTCGTTCGCACTCTAGAAGAAGAAGAAAAAACTTGGGTTGCTAGAAAACACAAAAAAAGTATCGGCCCCGCCATTTTGCTGCGTATCGGCCCCCCGTTTTCCTGGCCGGGAGGCGCAGCTGCGAAAAATACGCCATCCATTGTTCAACGCCACCTTCCGACCTCCCCACACGCCCGTAGTCTCTTAGGCCTACCGAGGCTCAGATGTCCAGGTAATCGGTCAATGTTGTTTGTGGTGATGCCGGTAAATAGGGTAGAGTGGTTGTTGGAGGGGCAATTATCTGGTAAAGGCCCCATTGACAACGGCCCCGTTGAGCCCCTCACCTGGCCCCTCTGAGGGTAGCTTTCCTCTAAGAATAGCTTCGTATGAGCCTCTTTGCCCACGAAGCAACACCATCCGCAAGGTTCCGCTTCGGTTAATTGAGCCGCGGGAGCTGTAAACGTGGAAACCCACGTCTTCCTAATCCCAAGTCGTTATCACCGGCCAGAGTGATGTGTCCGCCCAAAAATAGTACTCCGAAGTTGTGCTAGTCAACGTCAAGCTCGTATGTTGGACACCATAGCTTGCGCATGCGCAGGGTAAGTGTAGCATGCTCATCGCCTCTGTCCACCAAAGCTTGCACGGAGCGCCAGGATCTGCTGTCTCTCTGCCTCGGGGAGCATGTTAATCGTCTCCATCGGCAGTTCCATAACCTGCCGCATGAGCGCGTCGGGATCTTGGCCCAGGGGTGCGGCGACCGGCGGGGGTGCGCCATACGGAGCTTGCTGCGGGGGAGGCGCGTACGGCGTGCCGGCAACCGGCGGGGTGTTGTTAGCTCCCATCACGGGAACCGGAGGGAAGCCAGGGGTGGGCTGCGGTGGGTAGCCGATCGGCGCGGCCTGCGCTGGGGGCGCGACGGGTGCGCCGCCGGGCTCGATGACGGAGTGGATCGCCTCGGGGGACACCAGGCCCATGAGTAGGAGGGCCTGAAAGACGGCGTATGCCAGCTGCGGTGCCTGTTGGAGAAGTTCGGTCGCCCTAGCGGGATCTGTAGAGGCCAGTGCCTTCATCTGTGTGAGGATATCGAGGAGCTGAGAAGGAGGGAGGGTGTTGAGAGTGCGCGAGATGGCGTCGGTTGCTGTGACGTTCGGGGGAAGCTCCTTGCCGGCTGGGAGAGGAGGCAGCGTACTCGACTGCATCGGCGGCGCGACAGGGTTGTATCCGTTCGAGGCATGGGAGGGGTTGCCGCCATCTCGGCCCTGCTTCAATTGTCAGATTCCGACTTCAAAAACAGGTCTGCATCTCTAGACGTACGTGTCCGTGGCTGTCATTGTTGTCGTCACTGCCGCCTTCGTTGGAAAAGTCGACTCTAAGTTTCCTTCCCATAATCTCATAGTCGTTGAGGTTGCGGACAGCCGATGCTGCGGAATCTGCACCGCATGATCAGTCAAGTCCATAGTTAAAAGACAGAAGTTTTTCCTGAGAATTACCATTGTCGGGATATTCTGCGAAACCGAAACCCTTGGGCCGTCCTGTTTCGCGGTCGTAGACTAGACGGAAGTTGAGGACCTTGCCGGCGCTGCTGAAGATGTCGCTGATCTGCTCCTCGGAAAGGCCTGGAGCAATTGATTAGATGCGTAGATTCTTATGGTTATGGGTGGTTGGTTTCTACCATAGGGAATGTTGCCTACAAAGACAACTCTGGAAGGAGGTTTCGACATCGCGGTAAGAAGGCTCGATGGTCGGAATGCAAGACTCGCTCAGTACACGTTGGCCAAGGCGGTCAAAGGGATGGTGGGTGTTGCGTTCGTGGGGAAAAGGTGTAGTCTCGTCTTGCTTCGGTATGAGTTCCTCGAATTAGGATGTCGTGGGTATCAATGTGATTTGGTCGTAGGGCGTCGCAAGGTTGATGGTTTGCTTGAGGTTGTCTCCAGACTTGACTGCCAGGCTGGGATTTTACGGTGGGGACGGGAACCGCGCAGCTTAAGCACGAGCCATCTGATTCTGGATTGCTTCTAGTGGCCTGACGGCATCTTCCATTGGCCAACGGCCGACAATTACCCAGGGACCCGGACCCACCCGCCCCGTGCGAGACCCCTGACAAGATGCACCTTTAGCGCAATTGAGAGCTGGAACCGTGGACGGGCTGCGTGGCCAGAAAACGAGTGAAGGTGGCCTCTACTTTACTTTGGATTTGCGCAACTCTCAAGGCTCTGTGAGATCCAATCCTCCTACCTTGCTTTCCAACTCGACTTCCTCGCGTCGACCCTTCTCTTCTCATGGTTCAGGCGGGGTCTCTCACTTCCTGATATCACCCTTTACCTCTCCGCCACTCCTTTTAGCGTTTTCCTGCTTGGCGCATTGTTGCGAAAGTACGACTTTTGGCTTACCCCCGTTGATTCTTCCCACAACGCCTACGAGGCTACCGCAAACTCGTGACAGAGATCGATAGCACTTGATACCACACTCCTCATCCCGAATTCACCATGCCGGCAAAATCGAGATTTACAAGGCTCGACGCCTTCACAAAGACGGTCGACGAAGCACGCATCCGCACAACCTCTGGTGGAATTGTCACCATCGTGTCGCTGATCGTGGTCTTCTGGCTGGCCTGGGGAGAATGGGTTGACTACCGGAGGATAGAGATCCACCCCGAGTTGATCGTGGACAAGGGAAGAGGTATGAAGCCCTGGCAGTCTCTCTTGGTCTGTACGGGCAGTGGGAGCTAATGTGTACTCGGTAACAGGCGAGCGCATGGAGATCCATCTCAACATGACTTTCCCCAAGATGCCCTGCGAACTCCTCACCCTGGACGTCATGGATGTGTCTGGCGAGCAACAGCACGGCGTTCAGCACGGTATTAACAAGGTTCGCCTTCGTCCCCAGAAGGAGGGTGGTGGTGTCATTGACATCAAGGCCCTGGATCTGTAAGTTGCTACAAACGTTGCCTTCTGCCGTGAAGCTTTTTTTAACACCTTCCGTCAGTCACTCACGCGACGAGGCTGCTGGGCACCTGGACCCCAACTACTGCGGCCCCTGTTATGGCGCCCCGTCACCGGCGAACGCGCAAAAGGCTGGATGCTGCAACACCTGCGAGGAAGTAAGAGAGGCGTACGCACAGGCTTCGTGGGCTTTCGGTAAGGGCGAGAACGTTGAGCAGTGCACGCGCGAGCACTACGCCGAGCGATTGGAGGAGCAGCGCCAGGAGGGCTGCCGCATCGAGGGTAACCTGCGCGTCAACAAGGTCGTCGGAAACTTCCACCTTGCCCCTGGTCGCAGCTTCAGCAACGGAAACATGCACGTCCACGACCTCAAGAACTACTGGGACACCCCCTCCGACGCCCAGCACGACTTCACCCACACCGTTCACTCCCTGCGCTTCGGTCCTCAGCTGCCCGACACCGTCGCCAAGAAGATGGGCAAGCGCGCCGCTGCGTGGACGAACCACCACGGCAACCCTCTCGATAACACTCACCAGGAGACCAACGACCCCAACTACAACTTTATGTACTTTGTCAAGATCGTACCTACCTCATACCTCGCTCTCAACTGGCAGAAGGGCTCCAGCCCCGAGGAGGAGAACTCTGGCCTCGGTCTTCTTGGCCAGGGAAGCGATGGCAGCGTCGAGACTCACCAGTACTCCGTCACGAGCCACAAGCGCAGCTTGGCTGGCGGCGATGACTCTGCTGAGGGACACAAGGAGCGTCTTCATTCTCGCGGTGGTATCCCGGGAGTCTTCTTCTCCTACGTAAGTTCCTCCTACCCCTATCTTCAACTACCATCACTCACATGGTTCGTCCAGGATATCTCTCCCATGAAGGTTATCAACCGCGAAGAGCGCGCCAAGACCTTCACCGGTTTCTTGACCGGCCTTTGTGCCATCATTGGCGGCACTCTCACTGTTGCCGCCGCCGTTGACCGTGGTGTCTTCGAGGGTGGACTGCGTCTCAAGAAGATGCGCTCCAAGGATATGTAGATTAGAGGGATAGAAGACCTGGGGTTGTAAGTAGTCAATATGTGGTGGAATTATCTCGTACGCTGTGCATCAAAAGTGGAGTTTGGGTGGCTTGGTAAAGAGGGCTTCATCGTTTCAATCAATACATAAATATCAAATGTGCCTTTGGCGTTCATGCATCCCCGAGTCTCCCTTCACGTGCCATGTTTATTTATATGTGTATCTTCTACTAGTCAACGCAGCCTTTCTGGTATAAGAAGGGTTCCTCGGACAATCCTAACCCATTTAAAGGAGGTTGTGATGTTGGCTCGTATTGAACGCTGTTTCTACAAAACCATGTATGTCCGTAGCTTTGGGCCTGTTACATGGATCTGCACGGAATCAAGCATACTTGAATTCACCGTCTGTCAATCAGACCTGTTCGCATTTGGTGAACCGAGTTTTGTCATGTGGGAATGTTGAAGATTCCGTGACATTAAACCACCCAGAAAATGCGTGCGTTTCTCCGTCCTGCTGTCCCTGGGTCTACATCATGGGCTATTAGAGGTGTCATACTTACGATCCAATGTCTGGGCCGTTAGAGCTCAAAGTCTGGCCTGTCGACGGGCATCTATGCCTCAACTGTGTGCGCCAAAGGCAAAGACGAGGAAGTATTTCACAAGAGACGCTGAGACAGAGATATCACTCACTGCCTGTTAGAACAATCCATCTAGAAAAAGAAAAAGGATAAGGAGCACCAAACGGGGTTAAAAGGCCGGAGAAGTAAAAAGAGTTCACCCTCCCCTCCCTCCTTCCCGGTGGCGAGTGGGGGCTACATCTCTTGGTGCTCATGCTGGGAATCGAACCTCGAACCTGGCGAAGACGAGCCTGCCGCCGAGAAGACTCGCCCTTGACCATCCCGCCAAACGGCAGTTTGACCTGACCTCACAAGCCTGTGTGGCGCCTGCTGCCGTTGGTGACGGAATTGGACTTGAGGGGGCCTATATGGGCTTCCCGGTGTGTATTCAGTCTCGTGTATTCGTGGCTCGGATGAGAGTATACTGGAGGTCGAATGACCCCAACGGAAGGAGTTATTTACGTGAATCACCGACTATCCCTTTGATGTAAACCATCTAGGCACGATCGTTCATCCATTCCGAAGTAGTCCCATCTTTGCATTGAGAAAGCATCTGGACTATCTTTATACCACGAAAGCAAAATCATTACTCTTCTAACGCTATTTAATACATGTCTTTTCATATTTTAGTCTCTCTTTTGCCTTGTAAGCTTTAAAAAGCCTTAGATTCCATGCAGTTCAAATTGATATTCTGACTACTAAAATTATTACTGACATTCCCAATTTTGTTTCATCCTTAATACATTCATTCTTCTTTCAGCGTACTCTAAGATATTAGTAATGGAGATAGCAAGTTAAATAATCGTAGCAGGAATGGTAGTTGAAATTTCAAAGGGGGTAGAGACTGTCTTCTCACAGCCTAGTTCAACAAGTCAGGTCAGCAAATATTGTCTCATAACCGTGACCTAAGTACTGGTTCTATGGCTATTCAACGACCACCGTACGATGGCATCCCTTTCTCGAATCATCATGAACACACATGGCGACCCGACAGTGCACAGCTAGAATGCGATGAGCATGTCAAGTTTTGTGACGTACACAGGTGGGTGAAAAAAATATCATGCCGGCCAACCCATAAGTGTTCGTTTTCGGGTCAAGCCTCACTGTACCAAGCACGGCTCGTCCAGCTCAGATTCCGCCCTTGCTCAAGTTCTGTGCGAATTCTGTATCGTTTCAAGCTCTTCCGGTTCAATTGTAAGACGACGATAGTCACAACACGCTGGCTCGCAATTGAGGACACCAGACGATACCTTGGATTGCTATGTCTGAAAATTTGGAGAACACGAGAGAGATGAAGCAGTTGCAGCATGTTAAGTCGTCATTTTGATACCCAAGCCGCGTACTGGTTTATACCACGCAATAAGCTCTGATGTAGATAGCTCCATTCTTTCACGAAATCATCTGTGTCCAACACCTCAACTCCACGACTACATCCAGTAGCTCTAATCTGAGTGACAAGCAAGACAAGGCAACAAGTGGAAACGAACATATTATCGTACACTGGTTTCCGATGAAAGCTACGAGGGAGACATTGCAGCGCTTTTTGTAACGAGAAACTCATCCAAGGCTGTAGCTTGTGCCGGTGTTTATCCGTTCCCATTATTCGAAGCCGGTATGGGAGTTTCCGTCACCAAGCAGACCGTGTTCTGTAAACATCATTAGTCACTTGCATCATTCGATGGCGAGAGACAAAATCTCGCCGGATGAGCAACAGAGCGCGCTCGGCAACTTACCATTCCCAGAACTGCGGCATCCAGCCGATCAAACATCCTCCACAAACGATCGGAATTCTTCGTAAAGACGTAGCCAGCCAAGCCGACGGGTGTGTCGTTTGCCCTCATCACAACCTCGTCTTCCGTGTCGAATACGTAGAGGCCCAGCACGGGGGCAAAGACTTCCTCGCGACACATCAACATTGAGTCCGTCATACTACCCAACACAGTCGGCGCCATGAAGTACCCGTCACCAGGCTCTCTTCTGCCCGTGCCGAGAAGCTTGACGGCCCCCTTTTCCGTCGCATCTTTGCATAGCGCCTCGGCCTTGTACAGCCCGCGAATCGTCGTCAACGGACCCAGCGTCGTATTCTTAACCATCCCATGCCCGACCTTGAGCTTCGACGCCTCCGCCACCAGCAGCGTGGAAAATACATCATAGACCCGCCACTGCACGTAACACCGGTTCGGCGCGACGCAGGCCTGCCCCGCGTGCCGCCACTTCAGCGCCGCGAGGTCCTTGGCCACCTGCCCGAGGTCCGCGTCGTCGAACACGACGGCCGGGCAGTTGCCGCCCAGGTCGAGCGACAGACGCTTCAGGTTCCGCGTGCACGAGGCGGCGACCCGCTTCCCGACGCGCGCGCTGCCCGTGAAGCTTACCGCCTTGACGAGCGGGTGCATGCACAGCGCCTCGGACACCACCGGCGTGTTCTCCAGGCTCGTCGTCAGGACGTTGAGGGCGCCGGCGGGGAAGCCCGCGCGGTCGGCGAGGCAGGCGAGGGCGAGAGCCGTGAGCGGGGTTTCGGAGGACGGTTTGACGATGACGGTGCAGCCGGCTGCTAAGGCTGCTGCGGCTTTGCGGAGGGTGAGGGCGAGGGGGAAGCTCCATGGCACCAGAGCGAGGATGACGCCGATGGGCTGCTTGAGGAGCGCACCGGTTGCGGGTGTCGAAGCGGGGACGGCGCCGTCGTCGTCGTCGTCGGATGTGGGGGAGGAGACGCGGGATGCGACCGGCGACGGTAATTGTGGAGTTGTTGGTGGCGGCGGAGGCGGCGGCTCCAATCGGTCTGCTTCGCCGGCGAACCAGCGGACGAGACCAGCGCCGTAATCTACTTCGGCGAGTGCCTCGGTCAACGGCTTCCCCGTCTCGTGGACGAGGATGATGGCCAGGTCGAGGCGGCTAGCGAGGATGAGATGGTGCCAGGAGGTGAGGAGGCGAGCGCGCTCGTGGGCGGGGGTGTGCTTGGAGAAGCCCTGGAAGGCGACGTAGGCGGATTTGACTGCGGGATTGACGTCGTCTCTGGCGCTGTCTGGACACGTCGCCCACACGCGACCGGAGCCCGGGTCGAGGACCGCGAAGCGCTTGTTACCGAGGGAGGAGACCCATTCGCCGTGGATGTGGCAGTCGCGGCGGAGCAGGTCCACGTCTGTCAGCCTGAACGGGAGCGGGAACACGAGGTGCTGGCTGTCGTGATGGTGCTCGCGACGGGGGATGTTACCGCGCTGATCATTGTTGGTGAGAATGAGACCCTTCGTCGATGGGAGGAGTAGTCTTCCCGACCGGGCTGGGCAACTGAATGCCTCCACATCGGACGCCCTAGGAGATGAGGGATGAGTGGATTTGGCAACGCATACACATACACAAACGCGATATGGTGTCGAGAAAACCGGGTAGACTTGGGACCCAAGGAAGGGGAACGCAACACCTACCGGGCTGCTGGTAATATTAGCAAAGCTGACGAGGCGCCCGTCCAGGTCCTGGGTGATTCGGGAGACGGCGGAGAATTTCTCCCCCTCTCCTCACGGCGTGGCATCGGTGCCCGACTGTTGCATAGTGGTAGACTTCGGGGGAAGGGATCCGAGGTCGAATGAGATCCGCGAGGCCGGGAACACACCGGGAACACTCATGTTTTAAGCTCTGCCACTAGGCGTCATCTGAAGCTTCATGTCGGTGTTGTTGCAAAGTCTCCCATAATAACATACCCCTGGCTTCGAGTAAGCGGCCCAAGCTCCGTGCTTGCGGCTTTCCTTTCCCCCCCTTCCCCTTCTTCCTTTCTTGTCCGAGACCGAGACGAGCGGGCCGCCCCGGATTTGCAGCTTTCAATCCATCCATGGCAAGTGGCAAGTCACAGGGTCGTATTTGGATATGTTTGCTCGGACTCATGATGAAGAGAAGGACGGAGTTCATCTGAGCTCGAGTAGAGACGCGGTTGACAAGTAATGCGGTTCTGAGGAACTTGAGGGGAAAACCGTTGAGGGAAAAAATGACAAGATTCGGATGATAGGAGCAGAGCTGTGCGCTCACGAACTGAGTACTAGCGGGAGTTAATAATTCGGGGTTGACGGAAACGAGCCACATGAGCCAGAGAAGCGTAGTATTTAGTGAAAACTTTGAAGAGTGTGTGTCCCACCGGCAGCATTCTTTTCTAACACTTTCTCAAACAAGAGAACAGATGTTTGCTACGACGTCTAGTAATAGGACGTGCTTGCGCTCCTGTAATCCGGTCTGGATTCAGGATATACTCCAGGTGGCCCAGAGACGCCTTTGCCTTCGTCATCCGAGCTCAGGGCCTCTCCGTAATCGTCACTCCTCTCAGGCGGTGCGCGCATGGCTTCCAAGATGCTGCGATCCAACACTGGCGGCTGATACGGCTTGAGGGTGTGTATCTCACGGCCAGATGGCATCTGAGCCAGCAAGGGCCCAATCGGAGGCACGATCTGGACGTTCATCTTTGCATGAATTGTGAGCCTCCCAGTCTTTATCAACCTTGGACGTAACGTGGCTTACCGTGTCATTGAGCCTATGCCACTTCCCTTCAAGTAGCTCGATCACTCTCGTCTCC